TACCTGGATCCCAGAGCAGGTATTCTGTCCTTCTACAGCGTCTCTGAGACCAGGACTCTCCTCCACAGAGTCCAGACCACCTTCACTCAGCCTCTCTATGCTGGACTCTATGTTTATCGTGGATCCTCAGCAGAGTTGTGTGAGCTCAGATGAACTCTCCTCTCAGCTTGTTGCTCAGAGTTCACTGCTGGGACGTCTCAGTATTTTCTATTTTTCTGCTCCTTCCTGTGTTTGTGCAGCCGTGGAGGAAATCACTGCTAATCAGGAGTTTCATTCACAGAAAGTCTGGACTTCTCTGAGCTCTGAATGTTTGCTGATGTATTTGTATTTTGTTTTTTTTCTTTCCCTTCACAGAGAAACCAGCAGAGCTTCTTTTATCGCAGGATATTTTACATCTCATCACTTTGGAAATGTGGAAATTATTTACAGTTTTTGTTGTTTTAAATGAAAGAAGTTGTTGTTTCCAGGGTCACAATCTATGTAGTCCCTCTTCATGTTTAATTTGAAAACAAATTGTTTCATTTTATCATTTTTGGATTTTAGAACAAATAAAACCTTAATGGAACCAAGAACTTATTTGTCTTTCTGTTTGTTTCTAGTTACTTTGAATCTGATGAAAATAAAATGGGCAATGTTTAGTAAAACACTGAAATGTTAAATTAACTTAGATTATACAAAATGCAGGTAAGATGAAGGAAACTCTTCCAACATGCACAAGAAAAAGAAAAAGGTTTCCAATCTGCATGGTTTCACACCAGTGTGGCTTCTCATTGGGCTGGTGAGTGCAGACCTATAAGTAAATCATTTCCCACATGTTTTACACTTGAAAGGTTTCTCGCTTGTTCCGCTTCTCGTATGGATAGCGATTCCAGACCTGAAAATCAAACCTTTCCCACATGTTTCACAAAAAAGGGTCTCTAACAAATGTAGAACACATCAGAATTCATTTGTGCCAAAAAAAAAAGAAAAATTCTGGTAAAACTTTTCCCACATATTTTACAGGAGGTCGCCTTCTTCTCGTCTGTTTAAGTCCAATATGGTAAAACAGGAAAAATGTAAGATTCCTGTCCTCCAGCAGCTCCTGGACTAAAAACGAACCAAAGTTTAGGCATTGATCAGAAGTCAGTAGTTTACAGACTCTTTCATTTAACTGTATTCAGCAGAATGAATGTGGACTTAAGTGTTTGTGGGTATTTCTACATCTAAAATGTGCAGCATCTCCCCACACTTTAGAAAACATTCAGGTTAAGCAGACTA